TATTTAATATATAAACAACCTATTTTTCTGAAATATATACATGCATATGTGTGTATTTATATATACATAAATATACACAGCACACACATATTATGTAAATAAAAACTAGTTTGGATGCGATTAATCACGATTAATCGTTTGACAGCACTAATATATTCACATTGACTCATTAATGAGAATTTTCTGTTCTGTTCTGTTTTAGTTTAAAAAAATTATTAAAGTTATGTCTGATGAGTGGGGCGGGGCCGAGAGCCGTGGGAACGGAGCGAGGCCGGTGGAGTAACTGATAATAAGCGACACCTGCACCACTCACTGGTCTCGAGTCCCTCGGAGGAGCTCCGGAAGGATAAAATGAAGAGCTACGACAGTGAAAGATGAGATATATATATATATATATATACACACACACATACACACACACACACACACACACAAAGTTCATCTCTAAAATAGCCTAAGCTGTCTAGATTGGCCTGGTTTGTTGGTTTTAGAGGGCACTTGTCATCTCAAGACTAGTTTCGTATACTCACAGTATTTTTACAGCATTACAACCGCTCTCTGTTTCACTTGTCCTTATTTTTTAAAATGAATGTAGTATGTCGTTTGTTTTCTGAGCAACTTCTAAGCAGCCAAGCAGCATGTCGGAGCTCAACAAGGGCTCTGTGTGAGTCACGACCGCCACTGACTATTAGATGCACAAATGACACTTCACTCACAACACCGCTCTGGTACTGAGTCATATGTGCTCAAATCATATACAATTATTGTAATTGATACGATTACCAACCCAACTCACTGCAATGGACATTTCTTGCATTGACATTTTCTCTGTCAAAGATAAAAAGAAGGAACAGTTCACCCAAAAATGAAAATTTGCTAAAAATTTACTCAGATTTGGAGAAATTTAGCATTGATATATAATCACTTGCTCACCGATGGATCCTCTGCAGTGAATGGGTGCCGTCAGAATGAGAGTCCAAACCGCTGATAAAAACATTACAATAATTCACAAGTAACCCACACCACTCCAATCCATCAATTAATGTACTGTGAAGCAAAACATTTCTTAAAAAAAAAAAAAAAAACGGGGGGAAAAAATCTAGAGATCCATTTAAATTTAAACCGCTGCTTCTGGGAAAAATATCAATTCATAATCCATAATAATGCTTCCTCCAGTGAAAAAGGCCAGCACCTGTTGTCCTCTTACATCAAAATCCATGCACCAACATATTTGTTTATAAGTTTGGCCTTGTAACAATGCTTGATCTGTGCAAATTTCTCTCCTGATTCAGACAACATGACTGGAGAAAGCAATATTTCATTTTCACAGGAGAAAACAACATTCTGGATAGAGGACTCACATTTTAGGTGGAAACAATTTAGATTTTAAAAATGTTATTATGAATTTATTACAAACATGCAACTTTTTACTGGACAAGATGTTAATTCTTGTTGTGTGGATTATTGTGATGTTTTTATCAGCTGTTTGGACTCTCATTCTGATGGCACCTATTCACTGCAGTTCAGCCAATTTAAATTTTTGGGGTCAACTATTCCTTTAATGGTAACATTAGGACTTGTTCATTAATAATTTCACACATATTGCATATTTATGTGCACAGTTCTCACTCTGAATTTCTGACAAATTCACAACATGTGCATGTACACAGAAATGTGTTTCTGTCATCATTCATCATTGTTGATGAATCTGGATTATTCTAAATGAGGGCAGGTGTATCTACAACTAGTAATTTGCATAAAACACGCCCAGGGCGTGTTCATTTAAGGGTTTTCCACGCAAAACCAATTCTCAAAAAACAGGCTTTAATTGACTGCATGTGTTTTAGAGGTCATAATTCAATTCATTTGAATTCAATTAAAAAATGTAATACGCCTGTACAAGCTGCATTTTTTCCATGTAATTTTTTCATAAACAATGAACAGTTTTATTTCACTTTACTATACTTTTCACAAACTCCAGTTTTGGCATCTTCTCAAAATGTTGTGAATAATAACAAAAAAACTAACATTCATGCTGCATATTATGCAGATGTCTCACAGGAGCAAATATCAGCCAGATGTTGTTTACTCCAATCTCATTATATATACAGCGGGGCCCTAAAGTCTGAGACCACAGTGAAAATTTTATTTAAAAAAAGAAGAAGCCAATTTAAAAATAGGAAGAAATTTGTACGATTTCTTGGTCACACTTGGACTCTTTGTACAGATGTTCTTGCATTCATTAAAGCACAATATTCTTTTTAGATCATTTTCAAGGCATGCTGGGTAACATGATCACCAGGTTTAACTTGTGGAGTTCATGCAGAGTGATAATGTCATTAAAGCAAAAGAGGGACAAAACAAATCTGATATTCCAAAGTTCATTAAATATAGAAACATTTCAGCATGGTAATTTATTAATTGGAAAATAATTGAAATTTGTCTCAGATTTCCCTAATATATCGCTCTCTGCTCTCCAGAGGTTAGATGTTGAAGACATTTGCATTTAAACCTTCCACCACTCACCTTCTCTGGAGGAAACGGTGAGTCATTGCGAGTCCCACAGCGTCAGTGCAGTTTTCTGAAAGATAGCCGTAGAGTGGGACATCGATCAGAGCCGGGCCATGCTGGGCTCAGACCTGACATTTAAAAATCGGACCTGTGATTAATCATCGGCCTAACAGGGCTCAGACTTCACAGCATTTGTAATAAAGCCCCATGGACACTCAAAGACCCAAGAGCATCTCTTACATCTCTGTGATAGACATAACCTTGTTAAACAGTCTAAATAGGAATGTTTATATTTACCCAAATATCCTGGGAGGATTCATTCTTGTTCCCGAAGCAGACATTAGATCTTCTCAACATATTTTAACGCAGGTATGAAATCAATATGATGCAGTTTAGCTCCAGCCCTAAACCAGCTAATAATGGTTTATAGGATTAGCCTACTTCAAAATTACCGGCAGGTGTGTTGGATCATCAGAATAGCCTTTCCAGTTATTCTTTTCTAGGAGTGTTAGCAACAATAATAAATAGCCCAAATAGTGCTAGTGTAGTTAATTGCGTCTATATTGGGGTAGCAATGAAAAATAGCAATTTCCAGAAAACACTACTTATTTGGCTGATTCATGAGGACACAGAATTGTGACCAAACTACATTTCCCATCATTCTCTGTAGCAGCATAAGATTGATGCTGGTAGGTTAGTATTTACAAGTTGGGAAGTCAAATCTTTCAGATCACTTTAGTCAGAGCAAGATGCCAGGTTTTTAACTGCTTCTGCAAAATGATTAATAAATAAAGCACATCAGGTCCACTTTATTTATTCATCAAATAAGTTTTTTATGTTTTTATACAATTTATGAATGTGCTGTACACTGATTACACATTTTATTATAATTGTACAATATTGTATTTTGTATATGCAACTTAGCTAGTTTTAGTGTAAATAAAAAACTTACATTTGAACAAATCTACTGTCAGGAGCTACAGATGATGCATCCATTGTGTCAATCATGTTTTTTCACTGACTCAAAATACCACATTTTCCACTCATAATTTTGAAGCACCAACTTTATGTTGAAAGAAAGCTTCCTGTCAAGAAAGATAATTAGAGAAATATACAAAATATTACAATAAAGAAAGAGGGAAAAACTTAAACAAGCACAGAAACCTCAATAATAATATTAGTAATAATAATACAATTAAAATGCATTAAAATATTGATCATAAGAAATGTTTCTTGAGCAGCAAATCAGCATATTATAATGATTACTGAAGGCTCATGTGACACTGAAAACTGGAGTAATGGCATTGCAGGAATAAATTACGTTTTAAAATAAACTGTAAACTGTAATACTATTTTTCACAGTATTATGGCTTTTACTGTATTATTCATCAAATAAATGGAGCCTTGAGGAGGACAACCATCTTCTTTCAAAAACATAAAAAACCTTATATACCACTGTTTTTGTTGTTAACAGATGATAATGCCTTTCATCAATACCAGAAGGCTAAACAGAAAATTAGGCACAAGTGCAGTTACTTGGACGAAAGGAACATCATTTTGTCCCCGCATTTATTTGCTCAGCCCACGTCATGCATATCTGGAGCAAATGATGCATCGGATGACGCAAACTCAAGATGGAAAGCATCTCAAATCAGTAGCGTCCCCACTAAGTCTGCCAGCCCAGACGTGAACATTACCACTGAGAGACCAAGTGCACCAGACCCGAGCTGTGTACCCATAAATCCCAGCGTATCTACTGATTCAATGACCCAGAGACAAAATACTGTCAGCGAGAACTCACTGCAAGTACATATCGTAGAGGTGAACGGGATTCTGCCAATGACTGAGTGGATTCCGGAATCATCTCATGAGCAAATGACGGAGGAAACCACATCCTGGAGGTGTGCTGGACTTGTCTCAGCGAACAATGAAACAAGGAGTCCTGAAGCTCTTTGGAAAAAGGCATCTGGAAAGAAAATCGAATGGTGCCATGAGCGCCTGGCTAAGGCGGCCCACCTTGGGTCATCATCGCCCATCGCAGCCAGACCCAGAGTGATGATCCGGAGACTGGCACGAGGAAGAGGTTACAGAGGGACAAGCAGGCATATCAGCTGTATTTTCAGCATCATTCCTCCAGTCTTCAGTGTCACATGATCTTCAGAAATCAGTATAATATGCTGATCTGCTGCTCGAGAAACATTTCTGATTATTATCAATGTTGGAAACAATTGTGCTGCACAATATATCTGTGGAAACTGTGATGCATTTCATTTTTCAGGATTCACAGATGATTAGAAAGTTCAAAAGAACAGCATTTCTTTGAAATGGAAATCTTTTGTAACATCGTAAATGTCTTTACTGTCACTTTTAATCAATTAAATGCATCCTTGCTGAATAAAAGTAAATCAAATCTTACTGACCCGAAAATGTCGTGCCATAAGATAAGGATAACCCAGAGTATTTCTTTAAATGGCACCACAACATGACTGAAACACAGGGCCGGAGATTTGAAATATAAAATAGCGCAGCACTGCCTCTTTTCAGAATAAAATAATGTTGGAGACTAATTTATATCCACAATTTTACACATGAGGCATCACGGTTTGTTTTTAATGATCACAGGAGGAGAGGTGGCTTTCTTGAACATTAACAATATCGATCCTCAGTGAAAGACGTGCTGGCCATTAAAACAAATGTCTATGTGAGTATCATTATGTTGAGCACTGGTTAAATGGACGTGTCTGATGGACCGACTCATTATTTTAGTGAGATGGCTGGTGATTGTCTTAGCAGATGATCAGTCTTTCACAGCTGGGTGATTTCAACTCACACTCAGGCTACGTTAACACGAAGCCAGAGCTTTCCCTATCCGATCGTTTTTTTCCCCCTTGTCTCAAGAAATATCTGCGTCCACACTAAACCATGAAACCGACACAAAATGTTGTAGTATACATGCCGTATGTGGCACTGTAATTCTGCCACAGAGATACACTAAAAACGGAGAAGAAGACTTGAACTATGCGCATAAACCTTGCACGTGGTATACAAACAAACATGGAACAATACGTCCTCAAACACTGCTTCACCATGAAAGCCTATTGGCCACGGAGTGAAACTGAATCCTGGCTCACAAGTTATCTAACCAAAGGATCTGGAACCTTTAGATCCTTTGTAGGTGAGTACTACAGTAGGTGAGTACTTGCATTTATCCGAGCTTTGGTATTTTTTTTATTTAGATCTTTCAACAGGTATTTTTAGCTTATTTTCTGCCTTATTTTTGTGGACACAGTGTAGGTACGTATGTATGGAAGCCCAATTCTGCCTCAGAGTAAAAAATAAAAGACATGGCCTATAAAAATAGTCACAATTTGAGAAATAAAGTCACACTGAGATTATAATTTAGATCAATACATTTGCGATTAAGAGATATTAATCTGCAATTAAGGGAAATAAACTCATATTGAGAGATGAAATCATAATTATGAGAAATAAAATTACAGTTGTGAAATATAAAGTTGCAATTATGAGAATGAATGAATGAATTGAATTTGAGACTTTAGTCACAATTGTGAGATATAACGTTGCAATTAAGAGTCATATTGTGAGATAAAAAACCCAGTTAAGAGAAATACATTTGCAATTGTGAGATATTAAAATCACAATTATGAGAAAAAAGATGCAGTTGTAAGGTATGAATTCACAATTTGAGACTTCAGTCACAATTTGATTAAAAAGTTGCAATTGTGAGATATTAAGTTGCAATTAAGAGAAATTGTGATATTGAGACATAAAATCACAATTATATGGTTCCAATTTTGAAACAATCACAATTTGTTTCAATTTTGAGATATTAAGTTCCAATTAAAAAAAGTAATAAATAATATAAATGAAGTCATACTGTGAGACATAAAAAAAAAATCACAATTATGAGATAAAGTTGCAATTATGACACATATGACTTCTGCCACAATTTGAGAAATCACATTTTCAAGAAATAAACTCCCAATTACCTTCTTTTTTTTAAACTCTGAGGCAGAAATATGCTTCCAACTGTTTGCACTCATCCAATGCAAGCACTAAACGAGAAAAAATTATATAGGAATAAACATTTTCTGGAATATACGACACCGAAAATTTCCACAACTACAAGATAAGTCCATTTTGAATTCCAAGCGCAGGTATTTGCATCAACCTGCCATAAACCTTTCAAACGCAAACACAGACACATATACGCTCTCCACATATGCGAGCAGCGGAGATATTCTGAGCTCTAGATGAGAGCTCGGTCTGCAAGAAAGCCAACAGAACCGGTCAGGGAAATGTGAAGTGCTGCTTCAGTCATTAGTTGCGTGATGGTAACAGTTATTAGTTGATAGGACCAATATTTCCACACACACAAAGCAAGGGCAGAGCGATCCAAAACGACACCATAGAGAATATGACCACTGCGTTAGCGTTGAGCCGGGACTATCGGGACTGGACGGTAAACAGCGTGGATGTCCAATGTGTCTGCCACACCGGCGAATCAAGGTCACGTGATCTCAGCGAAGGCGATGTGATTCTGTTGACAGAGTGAGACAGAAGGAGCAATGTCAGCAAAAACTTGAGAAGATCAAATACATCAAATCTGCTCTGGCAGCGGAAAGACTCTTTAGATGCAAACTGTTTTCACACAGGGTTTGAGGAGAAAAACATTTACACTTTTTACACAAGTGTGACTAGCAGCAGCTGTTTAGCACTCTACCTAAATTCACTGCAAAATAACATCTTGTTTTCCAGTAAGAACATCCTTTATTTCTTTTTCATTAACCTCTTGAATTTGTTACAATAATGCTTACAGCATGAAAAAATAAGCCCAAATAATTGATATCATCATTTTATGCATCTTACTAAATGTTATAAATATTTTACTTTTACTTTAAATAAATGTATTAAAAATGAGATATATTCACTAAAAACAAGTCTTAATATCTTTTGAGATGCAATTACACTTGTTAAGTAAATCTTAAGGATGTTTACATATTTTAACTGGAAAACAAGACCAAAAGGAAAACAGAAAGTGTTCATTACTTTTTTTTTGTTTTTTTTGCAATTACACTACCATGTTTAATGTTTTTGAAAGAAGTATCTTCTGCTCACTAAGTGTGCATTTTTTTGGAGCAAAAACAGTAAAACCCATAATACTGTGACATTTGACTACAATTTAAAATAACTGTTTTCTATTTTAATATATTTAGTGTCATTTATTTCTCATTACTCCAGTCTTCAGTATCACATGATCCTTCAGAAATCATTTTAATATGCTGATTTGCTGCTCAGAAACAATTAGCAATGTTAAAAACAGCGCTGCTTAATTAAAGAAAACCCTTTTTATGATTATTAAATAGATAGAAAGTTCAAACGAGCAGCATTTATTTAAAATAGAAATCTTTTGTAACATCATACGTCATTACTGTCACTTTTGATCCATTTAATACATCCCTGTGGAATAATAGCATTAATTTCTTTAAAAAATTATTGTTTAATTATTATATTATTATAGGATAGGATAGGATAGGATAGGATAGTTCCGGTCCTTGATTCTGATCCATGCATATATAAATGGGCATTGAAAGGGATTCTGCTGGAGTTGAGATTTAATGATAGCTAAAATTTCATGGCGCAGAAACTACACGCTGCATTAGAAAACTCTAATAAATAATACAGCTGGAAATGGAGTGAGTTCATCAGAGATTCAGCAAACATGAAGAGCGATCACAGAAAAGCGTTCCGCAGGTCACATTGCTGAAATATACACTGTGACCTTGGCGGAGAATATGGGGCGGATTTTGCCAAAACAAATTATTTCTTGCTTCCAGTCACATTCGCCATGATCCGGCAGTCTGTGTGATTTGAAGAGACAAAACAGAGATGCGGATTTTCCCCGCCTTGTCCTCCCACTTTCAACGGCATTATGGTTTCTGACAGCAATCTGTCTGGGGGATATTTCAGCAGAAAGCAAAGTGGAATCGTCTGTTTTCCATACCCAGAAACCTCACGGGACATTACTGCATCCAAACTTCATCTACAAGGACGGAGAGATATCGCAAATAAATCTCTCGAATCGGCACCCTTGACTAAAGAAGATTAGCATTTTTATTGGTGGAAAGAGCCCTCAATATCCTACACATTTCATTTGCTGCATTTCAATAAACCGTCTGTGAACCGACATTGTTCCCAAATGGTTTTATTGCAGCTGAATAAGCACACAAGAACAACATTTAATCCCTCATATACTGCAGAGAGAAAATCAACACCGCAATCTGGGATTAAATTATCCTCTCGTTTGCTTACTTGCAGGATCGTGAAATGAATGTGTAAATAAAAATGTTTAAAGGGTCATACTTGCAGCTTAATTACAGTCTGACGGGGCTCAGCGGTGGCCTGTGGCTTAATTAAAAGCTGAACATGAGGTCTGACTCTCTGCCATGGAGGATATCGGCTGCTTGGGAGCGCCTCAGGAACAGAGGGATTTCAAACGGGTTTCAAGTCTCTGAGGGCTTAGTAGTGCATTTCGACTTCTATTCGAGGTGCGGGATTGCTGACGGTTTTTAGGTCACCCAACTCAAACACCAACACCAGGACTTAGGTCAGGTTTTAAATGGATTCTGGAGCACCGGCTATGAAAGAAAACGGACTGGAAGCAACTGTGCGTGCAAGGAATTCTCATTAGAACACGAAAGCTTCGAATTATATGACTCAGGTATATTGCAAAAAACAAAAAAACAAAAAAAACAACAACCCTGATGTCTCCTATCACAGTGTAGTGTACTAACAGAACAAAACAAAACAAAACAAAAAAACTCAAAGTTATTACTAGATAAAGACCCTTATTCTGTATCAAAATCAAATATTTTGAGAAAAATAAATCCTTTTTGGCCAATCAGTCAATATCAACAAGTTGGGTTGTTAGTTCAACTAAAACTATAGAAAATGTTACTTTAAATATTTAAATAAAACTTAAATCAAACACATGAAATTCACATTAAATAAAATTTAATATTTAAAAAACGTATAAAATAAAAAAAAATAATAAAAACTACATAGACATATGTTTAATGTATTCTAATATAAAAAAATTAAAAAACAACAAAATTACTAAAACTTTAACTTAAAATGAAAAAATAAAAACTAATTCAAAATATAAATTAAACTATGATAAAAACCATAATCAATACTATAATAACACGGTATATAACTAGGATACAGAAAAATGACAGTAGATCTTTAAATTGGTAGAATTTATATTTATTAAAATAATTAGTGAATATTTACAGTATATTATATATAATATAATTATTGCATCATACTTTTAATATTTTATTAATATAAAAAAAATGTGGTTTTATATATACTGTGTGTGTATACTAATATATATATATATGTGTGTGTGTGTGTTCAAAATATTCAATAATTATAAAACAATTACTGTAACAAGACAAAGGTCAACTGATTGCACCTTGAAAATGACTGAAAATATCTTTTTAAAAAGTAAATGAAAAATCTGCACATTAGCTTTAAAGGGTTAGTTCACCCAAAAATTTTAATTAGGCTGTGTTTTACTCACCCCCGAGGGATCCTAAGTGTATATGACTTTCTTCTTTCAGACGAATCCAGTTATATTAAAAATTGTCTTTGATCTTTCAAGCTCGATCATTTCACTCAGCGGGTTTTGCAGCACTCAACGGGTGTTGCAGTGCTTCAGTTCAAAAGAAGTGAAATAAAAAGTGCCCATCCATTAAAAAAAAGTGTCTTACCTGGCTCCGGGGGGGACAAAGGCCTCCTGTAGCGAATCGATGCGTTTTTGTAAGAAAAATATCCATATTCAAAACGTAATAATCACTTGAATCTAGCTTACGCTCACACTGTAGTAAACGAAGCAGTTCCGGGGGAATGACGTATGAGGTGGGCTTTGCGCACGCGTGACTCAGAAGTGACGCACGTGGAAGCGCAGTGGAGAGATCAAAACAAAACAACGGTCACTAATTTGAAGTACAAAACGAGAATTTGTAAAGAAGAATGTCGGAGGATTTCGATATAAGCCAAGAGGAGACAGGTTTTCCTTTGCTAAAGTAAGGAAACTTTGCTTCTTTTGATCCTGTAAACAAACGTTTACTTTTAACGTTTATTTTTCTTACAAAAACGCATCGATTCGCTACAGGAGGCCTTTGTTCATCCCCCGGAGCCGTGTGAAACACTTTTTTTTGTGGAAGAGTGCTTTTTATTTCACATCTTTTGGACTGAAGCAATGCAACACCCGCTGAGTGCCATGAAACAGCTTGAAAGATCAAAGACAATTTTTTTGATATAACTCTGACTGGATTCATCTGAAAGAAGAAAGTCATATACACCTAGGATGCCTCGGGGGTGAGTAAAACGCAGTCTAATTTTCATTTTTGGGTGAACTAACCCTTTAAGTTCAGAAGAAGATCAGATGCAACCATAAAGATTGAACTGCAAAGGACTTGAAAACATGCAGACAGAGATGCCAAAGCTCTGGGTACGCTTTAATTAGCTACAGGTAATTGGTTTGTTCAGTTGAAATGAACATGATTGGGTTTTAACTGGGTTTTAATGACGTGCTGTTGTACTCCAGAGCTTTGGCAGCCTGATCTCCTCACACAGGTGCGCATACGTTTATTGCCTTGTGCTCTGCAGGTGTCTGAAGCGGCTGCTTTTGCCTGTGATCCAGCTAAAGAAACTCAGGAGACGGCCTTTCAGAGAGCGGGACGACAAGTCCTCATCATCATCCATTCTCATCTCTGTCACCTGAGGGACAGGAGCGCACGGATACACATCTTGTTGATACGAGCGCTCAAACGGACACAATTAGGACCCTTGAGAGCTGATTCAACACTCTGCACACAGGACATGTACCATGCGGCAGTTCATTTGACAGCATGGTTCCAAGTGTGCTTTTGTCGACTGTACTCTGTACCTGTGAAGCGATGTACTTCTCCAGCGGACTCTCAACCCTGGGCGAGCTGACCATCGGATTGTTGCTTAGGTGGTCCTGTGGGGGATCCTCGTTCAGCAGTTGTTTGCCTTTGAAGTTATGGACCACACACACCACCTGAAAACATGAAAAATATAACATTATTTAAAGGGATAGTTCACCCAAAATGGGTAACCAAACAGCCATTGACTTCCATGGTATTCATTTTTCAACATTCAAAAGATCTTCAAAATATCTTTGGTGTTTAACAGTAGAAAAAAACTCATACAGGTTTGGAACAACCTGAGGGTGAGTGAATGATGACAGAATTTTCATTTTTGGGTACTATCCCTTTAAGGGGAAAACAGGATTATTTTGCTCTTCTCTTAAATAAAAGTTTGATGAATGCTGACAACACAAAGTTCACTCCTCAGTCCATTCAAAAACAGTGTGAACATCAGTATGAAAATCTCAGTCAAGGCATCTTACATTACAAACATGCATAAATAAGCATCTGTAAGTTGATGGAAATATGTAAATAATATGAAGGTGTGAACTTTGAAATGGCAGGAATTAATGTGTAACACCTGCAGAAGAGAAAAGTGCTGCATGAACGCCAGTGTGCAATGAATTCATTTCT